CCAGTATGTCATCACCCAAATGGATATTTTAATGTGAGTGTGATTTCAAATTACATCTGTTAATACAGTCAGCGGTTGCACACTGCAGCACAAGGTTACTTTAAGGACACATCCCCGTAGGTTGGACATGTTTTGCTGCACTCCTGCGCCCTCCTTGGCCTCTTCCAAAATAATGAGTCCCATCTGAATAAGGACTAAGCAGCACCTCTTCTTCAATTCAGTGACTGTATCATTGCAAAAGTTTGACAGGAAAGTAACAGTACAGTATTTATTAATTGAAGGTCATCATATATTGGAGTTTTTTTTTTTCCAGGGATGCCCGTTTGTTATAATATAGGAAGTTGATTGGGCTTTTCTTTTTATTTAAAACGGCCATGTTTCCTATAAATTAGAGCTGTATCAACAAAGATTCCTGTTGTATCCGCAGGCTGAATTCTGACAGAAAGCCTAAAGAGGGAAGTGAACAAAATCTCATGTTTTTCCAAAAATATTCCAGAGTGGTTTGACATTTCTGAAAGGCATGTGCATTTGTCACCAGATTTATCTCCATTGTGACACTTTGTGCCTCCAGTGCATCCGTGCAGCATCAACAGCAGTCTGCAAAGCTTCAGTTCTGCTGCGTGTGATGCACACATCAGTTTCTCAGTGTACCTTATCCAGCTTTTGATGCAGCCAGCTGAAACCTAAAAATACCTACGTTTGAAAATTTCATCAGACATTTCCCTGTATAAAAGTGGGTTTTTATTATATCTGTTTAATCTCTAGAGGAAGTAAGATTTCACCCCAAATAGTTCTGGAGGGATGAGTTTAAAATATAATCTGTATGTTTTCTGGCAGTCTGCTATTGTAAAGTGAAACACTGTTGTAGTTAAATCTATTTAGCAAGATCAGCATAGATCAAAAGTATCTCACCTACAAAAACCTGCTTAAAAGCTTGAAAACAGTTTTTTGTCTGATGTGTTTTTTTGTAGTCTTTGCATTCATCACATATGATAATTAAGGGGGTAGTCTTATGTTTTGGTGTATAATTATTGCAGCTTTGTACCCACTGACTCCTTTCCCATTGCTTTTCCTTGAAAGATGCAAAGCTTTTATTCAGGTCTGTTTAAAATTCAACAATTGTCCAAACTGCACTCTATATTTATTAATAATAATATTTGTATTACCAAGTTTATATTTACTATTTTTGCCAACAATTCAAAAATCTGTCATGTTGATTAAGCGTCGCTACTAGTAAAAATGAAAAAGAACAAAGAAAACCACGAAGCACATCAATACTGGATTAAGTCTGTTAACCTTTGTTCTACAAATCAAATCTTTGCACCTAAATCAAATTCTGTACAATTTAAGAAACGTTTGAAGAACAACAGTGGCCATGACCACTCTACTTTCTGATCAAATGGACTTTCCAGCTAATGTAATTGTATTTCTCAGGTTGAATACCCCCAATATCCATCCTAACGGAAGCTTAGACGGAGGTCAGAAACAGGGCTGCAACCCTTCCCTTTGTTCAGGGAAAAATATTTTCCTTCAGTCTGTCTGTCTGCATGTCTGGCTCTGCTGGCTCTTTGCTATTATTAGCACCAAGGAAAAAAAACACTGAGATGGGTTGGTTAAAGGAGAGGACGCCACGTCATACACAGGGCCTACCTCAAAATGATTCAGCAGTTTCTGCCTAGGAGACCAACTGTGGGTTATTTAATGCTAAATACTCCCTTAAGTGTTCCTTCCCAACAGAATAGTAAGTTGCTTGTCAACATTATTTTGTGCTGTCGCTTCCACAGGTTTTAGGCTCATCCAGTTTACATTAACATCCACCTCAGTGTGCTATTATCTTAAATGGGACAATCTGCTCTCCTTAGTGTTTGCTGTCTGTTTATTATCTCCTTATTTTAATGTCTGACTGATGTTTATACGCCTCTCTTCTGTCCATTTTGTCTGCCTGTCTGGACGAGAGCAGACTCTGTCTCTCTCAGAGCGGTGGTTCCCCGAGGCTGCTGAAGCACAGCGGGATGCTAGCAACAGATTCCTAGGCAACAGCAGCAGCAACTCACAAATTAACACTTTGTTTACAGGTACAAAGAGCAAAATATGCATAATCATTTGTCACTGAGTCAAGTGATTCATACCAACAATGCACTGAAAAATAATCTGCTTGTCTTTGTAATGAATGCAATACTTTCATATTTTGGGAAATAAGCTTGTTCAGTATCAGTTTCATCTCTCTGCAAGGTCAGAGTTGTGTTTAGCCTTCGCATTGCACAAAGAGTGAAAGCATGGGGAAACAGCTTGTCATATTTACACATTGTCTTTTGCAGTGTATACCAAACCAAACACAGGTTTAATGAGCTTACACATCTTTTACTGATGATACCATGCCACTGTTCTTAAGGGCCAATTATTTCAAAATAGTTTTTTAAAAAATGTCCATTAGTGTATTTGGACATGCAGGAAAAGATGAAGTCGGTGGGCCTTTGCCACCATGGTTACAATAATAAACATGTGGTTAATGTTGTGATTTTGGTCAGGTTTAGGAAAAGATCATGGAGGTTTGGGTTCAGGTTAGTTACATTAGTCAAGTTATGAACGTAAGTTTGTGATAACGGGCCTTCAGAGCAATGGGTGTTTGTTTTTGGAATAATGGGCTCTCAGTCAAATTGACTTTTGGTACAATGGGACACTTTTGGTACTATTGGGGTTTCAGAATAATGGGCCGTCATTAAAATAGTATGTGGTTGTGGGCTGAAGACAGGAATTGTATCTTTCTGCCCTTTTTGGTTTCTGTTAATGTGGTCTTTCAGATTTTAATATGTCTGCAGAGCCGACACCTCAGACCAGTGAGGAGGAATGGCTTTGATCGGGAGATGCTGACAACCAGGTGAAATTTACGGCTGTGCCCCCCTTGCTCCACCTCCTGAGTCTCATTTCCACCACCATCACAGCCCCGCACTGACACTTATTACCAGACAGAACGTAAAACATGTTTCTTTCTTAACACATGCTCCTTTATCCCTCAAGATAACGGAGGGGAAGACATATAAAGGAAAAACTGCCACAGTCAGTGAATCAGAACTTAATAATGTTAATCCCAAAATGTCACAATATGTCCAGATATATTTGGCGTAGCCATAAAAAACATCTATTTTGTTTGAATATTTTACTCAGAATAAACATATTAAAGCTTCAATAAAGTGTTCAAACAAGCAAATACATAATATGTATGTGATACTGTAAAACAGTGTGGAATTAGATTCTTTTTCTACCCTTTAACCTACTTAGGGGGGAATAAAAAGGGGTATACTGGATTTAATATACGGTAATAAGATGTGAGAAATCAACAGAGAAATGTTTTGTGTATCTATTTACTGATAGGCTCAGTTTATTCTTAGCTCTTTCTATTACAGCATAAAAACAAAGCTTTTACACAACACTGCAAGTGTATGAAGACAAGCATGTGTGCAATAATTATAGAATGACACACTTGAGAAATCAGCCAACAGCAACTTATGCTGATTGCATTGGGACTGATGGCTAAACACTGATAGCTTTTAGCAGCTATTAATTTCCAAATAATCCCAGAGTTTAGGAGGCAAAATTTCATATATGGTGGAAGTCAGAACAATTTTTCATATGTTTTATTACTCTCATGTGTTTTACATGGTTACGAAGAAGTGGCAGGGTCGCTAGGGTGAAACTTAAAATAGAAAGTTGAAGCACTCTTCAAGTTTGCAGCAAAAGGAGGGAGGGCTGTTTCATAACAGGGCTTTTACAGTGGCATTTCACTGAATGGCTCTCACCACACCTTCTACTCAGCAGCATTGCAGGGGTATAAATCTTTGAGGAACTGCAACCTGCGTCACACATGCACACCCAGCGCTGAGGTTGTCCCACCCAACTGGGTGGACAAGGAGAGATGAAATAATCAGACGATCCATAAGGCCCAAGGTCTCAAGGTCTAGCACTGTGGGTGTGGGTAAATGTGTGGAGCAGCGGCGGGGTTACAATGATCAACATGCAGTATGGCAGCAGGTAATCCATCATATCTTCATACACATCTGCACTGTGACCCTGAGAAGCAAAAGGTATCTTCAAGACAGAGGTCAAGGTGACATTGCTCTTCAGCCTGTGGTGGTCCAAAGCAATATTTACTTTTGCAGATAAATCAAAGCAACAGCATTATATTCCTCAGGCCTGAAAACATGCTAGAAGAATATATGTATTACAATATTGCCTAAGAGGTTAATGGATACATTTTTCTAGCCACAGATGCATTTGATGCATCATTAGATGGTGCAACAGAAAGAAAACTCCTCGCTTAGAAATGTACTAAACACAGTTAGCACATTTGGGTTTTACAGGTTGATCATTAACATGTCATAATCATGTGCTCATATACTACTCACCTCTCATCCATCCCATTACAAATCACATTTACTTGTCATCATTAATCAGTGGTGCAAGGAGTGCTGGGATCTTTTACTTACTCTAAGTATTATTTCCACAGTTTATAAATACTCAAGTTTAACTTCAGTAAATATAAATATAAAATTAGCATCAGAATATACTACAGTAAAAGTACTAATTTCACCCATTTCACAGTAATGCATATTATACTATTGGATTATAGATGTTAAAAATAAAGGTGGGCCTAATTTTAATAATTGTATATATTGTTGGGTAGCTTGTGAATTTCCCCTATAATCAAAAAGTCTTAGTTTATAATATTACATCATAGTTTATGCGTGTATTATATTGTATCATTAATCAGAATCTACAAAGTAAATATTAACCATATATATCAAATAAATGTTGTTGGTTAAAAAATACAATATTTCCCCATGAAAAGCATGGAGTAGTATAAAGTGGCATAAAGTAAGCAAGTACCTTAAATTTGTACAGTACCTCAGTAAATGTACATGCTCAGTTATCAACAATCATAGGGTATCCTTGTCTAAAAAGTGTGTTAAAATAAACACAATGAAATCATGTGCAGCCTCAATAATGTCAAGTCTTTATTGATGTGGATACAGCAATACATATGTAGTAATAACAGTAAAGATAATAGCATGTCAACTACATTCAATCCCTATGCTTTTGTAGTCATGATAGCTCTAATAAACACTAATGGAGAGATAATAATGATTAAACACCCCACTGAACAGAATCATACACATCACACAAATGGCCAGAATAAAAGCTGCTGGTGTTTTAAGGCATTTCACATCCTGCAATATTTGTTCTATGGCTAAATCTTGATTGTTGGTTTTTTGATTGGTGACGTACTGTTCAGAAAATACTCGATGTTCTTCCATGAAGTGGTGTTTGCGTGTGCACTAAAAAAGTTTGGCAGTGCTGTAGAAGTTGCAGTGACATTGTTTCTTCAGACACCAGTGAAAACTCTTTTGGTTTACAGTTTAAAGATAAAGGCTTGACATTTTCACCCATGAATCATTCATCCATTATTATAGCTGTATACTATAAAATGCTGCTTATATTTATAAGTTCTTGTACATTTGAGATTTGTCTTCGGCTTTAAACTTGAACAAAATTCCCAACTTTCAGATTTGCTGCCCCTCAAATTATTCCAGTAATGATAGGCCACTGTGTAGAGACGCAAACACACTCACTACAGTACTAAGATACTTATCACAAGCCTCAAGTAAAACAACAGGAACCCTATCCAGAACAGTCTGCTTTACAATCAGTAGTTTTTTTGTTTTCATCGTGAGTGCAGTTTGTCAGGGCGTGGTTCGCCAGGACCAGCAGCAGCAGCAGCAGCATAAGATATCTGTGTTAAAATTGGCAGTGCACAGGCAGGAAAAACAAGCTATAAGTCTCCCTTACTCAGGGATTTCTAGAGGTGAGGTCGCACTACAACAGACACTTTATCCAGTCATGGCCACAGTTATAAAGAGCGAGGTCAAGTTGTTTCAAACATATTGTGGTCTGGCGGCTTCTGGCTGAATCTGGGATGTATTTGAAGTGTTGATGCCATTGATTTTTTTCTCTGGCTGAGTGATATGGTATGTATTCTGGGGCTTAAAAGCACATGGGAAATGATGTTAAGTGGATGAACGATACAGAATCTTGTACATTTGTGCTAAAGCGTAATTGTAAATCAGTCTCTAGTTGACTGGAGAAAAATCTCTTGCATTTTGCCTCCTTTGCATCTTTGCTTAACTTTCCCTTTTTCATTCCTATATGAGTGCCTTAAAGAGGATCTTTCCCTCTTATCCTCATAGCGTCAGCAGTAGAGAAGCCTACCTAAGTCACATCCTACAGTAAGAGCTACAACAGTAGTCTCAAATCTAGCCTACAGGCTAACAAGCACGTCTATTCCAGTTATTAACGAGCGTTGTGCGCGATGATGCTCAGCATGGCAGATGGCCGACCTTTGAACTCCAAACGAAATCGTGTCAAATGAGCAAATGGGCTGATGGATTCCATGCAAGCATGACATCTACATACACCATGCAAGTTATCCTCGATACATTAATACATTTGTTTTCTGGTTGGCTTCAAATCTCATTTAAATAGCCACAGCAATCCACTTTTGGAAGTGAAACTAAGTTAAAGAGGAGTCGCTGCTTGACTGAGGATGTGCATCCTCTTCCATACTGTTTGTCATGCAGAGCTGATTGGACCACAGTCAAACCATTGATGTCGGTGGACTGTGATCAAACAAATTGTGCATTGTGGAGATTTAAACAGACATTTTGCTTAAGAGCTCCACTTTTAGTTAAGAGACTAATAATGAATGGCTCAGCAAGACACTATCACATATTATTGTTTATTTTGGCTGGTTTCCTGTAATTGTAGACTGTGTGCTTCCTTACTAAACTGTTATAATAACAACAGTCAAGAATAATTGTATTTGTATTGTATAAGTGGATGCAGAAAGAGTAACCATCACCAGCTGATGTTTTCTGAATCTTTAGCTCTCTAAATGCGCACAGTAACACTCGCACACACATGCTTCCATTGGAATGTGTTAAGAGTATCTCACAGCGTGTGGTAGTAGTGAAAGACCAGAGTTATTATCTACTGTGTTTAAGTATCACATATGAATGTAACATTAGCCCAAAGTGTGAAAGACCTGTTGAATATCATATTTTGAATATCTGTAAGATATGCTACCTAAGTGCTTGTTATTGTCTGATGTTGAGTGTGTGAAGGAGAACGAGAGAGAACAGATGATACTGTGGTTTTGTATAGAGTGATGGTTACAGTAGAGTTATAATGGATTTCCTTTGGGGAACTCATGGGGGACAAAGGGGACAAGGAAGAATAAACGCCAGGTAAAACAAACATCTAGATCCTGCACTCTACACACTTGTGGACATCCAACACACAATAGGCACCATGAACATCTTACTATGCGTATAATAAGGATTCCCACAAATGCTTAAGAGTAAAGGCTCTGGGTTTGTTGGGTGGGTAATGAAGAGAGGTTTTGGGTTTGCAGGGTAGAAGGGAAGCTTCAGGGGTCAAAACCAGGCTTACAGTAGCCTTAGTTTTTCTGATTGGTGGGAGTATCGCTGCTGTCTTGCGGCTTCTCCATCTTCTTCTCCTCATAGACCTCACGCTGGGACACCTTGACTCCAGACTTGATCTGCTGCTGCTGGTCCTCCTCCTTGCTCTCTTTCTTGGAGACCTTGCTGGAGCTGGTGTAGATGCGGGACTGGTAGTTGTAGCCTTGCCCAGCACTTGAGCTCATGGAGGGGCCGGGAAAGGTGATCCCTGTCCCGATGCGGGTCTCCTCGCCTTCCAGTAGTTTCCTGCAGAGAGGACGGTGGAGGGAAGGGTTTAGGGGAAGAGATAATGTAGTGGACAGGAATAGCAATTAAAGAAGGGAGAGTCACATTTTCTTGATATTTGTTTTTTTTTTAAATTCTGCTCTCTCACTTCCACGTTATAGAGGTTATAATAACAGATAATGTGTGAGTTGCCTTTGAGAGGGGGTCCTACCTGTAAGCTGCAATCTCAATATCCAGAGCCATCTTGACGTTCAGCAGGTCCTGGTACTCCCTCAGGTGACGAGCCATCTCGCTCTTAGTGGTCCTCAGCTCATTCTCCAGCTCTACCATGCTGTCCTGAGGACACAAATACAATTATAAGAAAAGGATTCAAGATTTTAAAAAAAGAGAAAGTAAATTAGAAATAATAATCTATGACCACACTGCTTGCAGAGGAATAATGCCCAGACAAAGAGCTCTGCCACTGCTACTGTTGACCTCTGTATTGTGCACCCGGAAATTAAACTCGCTCATGAGCAAAAACGGGTTAAAATGTTTGTCCTACGAACATATTCTCATTTGGGACCGCTGAATCAAAACAACACAACAAATTACAGATTTCGAGCACACACACAGTACAGTGGGCGTTGTCAGATGCAGCTGCTGAGCGCGCCGTCCTGGGGGAGTGAGTTTCAGCACCACAGACAGAGCCCGACCCACAGCAGCTGCTCCTCATATTCTTACTGCTCACATTCACTACTCCACAGAAAAAAACACTATACATTCATTTCAATGTAAATAAACTTTTATGAGATTGTGATTTTCCATTCTCATATAACCCTTCTGATAAGCGATTAACGACCTATTAAAATGTGAGTACCTGGTAGTTTCCAATCTCCGCATTGTGCCTTTCCTCCATCTCCCGGAGCTGCTTTTCCAGAGACTCGTTGGTTCCCCTCAGACTCTCTATCTCGATGGTCTTGGACTGCAGCTGCCTCCTGAACTCGTTCATCTCCTCCCTGCTGGCCCGGATGGCCTCGTTACTACGGTTGGCCTGCTCGGACAAGTCGGCAAACTTGGTCTTGTACCACTCCTCGGCGGACTGCAGGTTCTTGGACGCCATGGACTCGTACTGGCCTCGAATCTCCTTGAGGGCGGAGGTGAGGTCCGGCTTGGACACCTCCATCTCCACAGACACCTGGGCAGCTTGGATCATGTCCATCAGCTCGGCCACCTCCTCCTCGTGCACCTTCCTGAGGAAGCTGATCTCGTCCAGCAGAGATTCCACCTTCTTCTCCAGGTCCAGGCGCACCATGGTGGCGTCGTCCACATCTTTCTTAAAAGCCTTGAGGGTGGCCTCCGCCTCCTCTCGGGCACGGTACTCCTCCTCGTATTTCCCCCTGAGCTTCTGCAGGTCGTCTTCAATACTATCCCTCTCCATCATGAACTGGGACTTCTCCCCGTTCAGCTCCTCGAGCTGGGAGCGCAGTTCGCGGATCTCTTGCTGGTAAAGCTCGGCCAGGCGGGACGGTTCAGTGTGCCGCTGGCGCAGCGCGGACAACTCCGTCTCCAGCACTTTGTTGTGCTGCTCCAAGTTGCGCACTTTGTCGATGAACATCGCAAAGCGGTCGTTAAGACCCTGCATTTGTTCCTTCTCATTGGTGCGGACGATTTTGAACTCATTGTTAAGGGCGCTGCTCTGTGTCAGGTCGAAGGTCTCCGATGGCATGGACGAGTAGGAGCGGCCGGACTTTCTGTTGTACGAGCCCAGGGATGAAACGTTGGTCCGGGATAGAGAGGAGGACCGGTAGCCTCCCCGTGAGGACACGTTCACCGCAGACCGGGATGGAGAGGATGCATAGCGGGGAGAATCCCCGAAAATCTTCCTGTAGGAGGAGGAGGAATAGACGTCAGATCCGTAACTCATCTTGGCTAGTATGGAGACAGAGCAGAGCAGTGGGCGCGTCTCCTTTTTATAGGGGGAACAACCCAATCACTAATTAATGCCCGATGGCAACATCCGGACTCTTTAGTTCCACATGCGTCAGTATCAGAGTGTTTATGAGAATCAATGATAAATATTTTGCAAGAGATTATTCTTTGCTCATAATTAGTCTACAATAATTTCTGAAGTTATTCCAGATGTGCGCAGCTGACACTGCTCTTTGTGTGGAGCAGATGGATCTGCCCTACTGTCCGTTTTGGCGCAGTGGTGATGCGTCAGTGTTTGATCGCTTGTTGCACAGTTAACACTTAAAATTAAAATGTAATACTGAAATTTTCTTCCAGAAGCATCGGATCTTTAGCTTTTGATATTTAGGTGGCCTTCAGTCTACTTCCAGTGTTTCTGTAGATGAGAAAAAATATGAAGATACTCCTAAATCCTAAATCCAGATTCACATCAGGTCCACAAGAGCACAATGGTTTGTTGTTTTTGGCAGAATGATGATGGTGCACTTTACTTAAAAACGTTTTTTTCTGTTGTACATAGTTGCAGCTAGTTTACAACAAACAGTGTTACTGTGACCAACAAACATGTTGTTCATACAGGTGTAAGCAACAAACTGCATCTTACTTCCTCTGGCTGGCCTTGAGGTTTCTCTTTAAGAGTTTAATATTCACATTATGTATTCACCTCACTCCGCTCATTCTGTTAATACTGTTCATAGTGTAAATATCCTGCCTGCATATTCATATATATATCTATAATGTTATTATTACTTTGTTTACATATTTTTGTACATATGCACATTACTCTGCACTTTACTGCTTTGCACTTCTGGTTAGATGCTAACTGCATTTCGTTGCCTTGTACCTGTACTTGTGCAATGACATAAAGTTGAATCCAATCTAATCTAAATGGGAGTTCCAAAAGGAGACTACCTAGAGCCAAAAAGGGTTCTGTTATGATGTTTCTAGTACTTTTATTTCTAACAGTGCATGACCAAAACATGTGACCTCGGGAATACTCACATCTGGGGCATGTATAAAATGTGTTGTAAAATGTGACAGTAGGATATAGCTTGGCTAATTTGTCACTGGAATAATACAACCAATGTACTACTTTAAACTGAATTAAACCATGTCGAATACAGAGAGGAGGTGTTTTATCCCATGTGTAGGGGTTCCTGTTTAGTATTTAGAATTATTAAATGGGTTTCATTTCAATATTTCTAATCACAGAGAGTGCAAGTGCTTTTGTGCACAGGCACAACAGGGACAAATGAAGTGAAATAAAATGCCAGCCAGAATATGAAAGCAGTTTGTGGATTGATGTGTTGCTCAGTCGCCCCTACAGCTGCATTATGATTCCATTTAAGAGACTGATTGATATTCCTCACTGCAGTGACTCTTTTGGATATAGAAGACAATATTTACATAGAACCTAATTTGCAAATAACCTCCTCTCAATTCTCAGTTTTAATTCTCAACCTGATTGTACCACAAAATGTATTGTGGTAATGTGTTGTGTTGTGTTTTATCAGTTTGGTTTGATGCTTTATTCGTGCAGCCGTGTGGTCTGTGGCCTGCGGCGCAGTGTGATGCTCTGTGGGATACCAGTCTGATTTGTATGGAAGGAGATGTCCAAATGCAGATCAGACAGGCAACTCAGCAGCTAGGTTTAATGTCAGTGAGTTATATTCTGTAGGATAACAGCCTGACTGACACACAATATCACATGATCTGTCACATTTAAACTGTGTGATCAAAAAAGAGAATAAAAGAAAAGTAAACAGGGAATAGAACATATTTTGTAAGTTCAAATGTTCCCAGGTGGTGCCTCTGTATAGTACTGTGCTGGGTTAGACTGGCATACATGAACATCAATTAATATTTTTTCCTGTTTGCGAAGTCCTTTAAATGTATCGCAAAAGAGTGGCAACCCTGAGTAGCAGTAAATATATTTTTGGCGCTGTTAAATTGCTTTTTGAGCTACATGACTAATGGAATTGGCTTTCTCTCTCTCTATCTTTGTCTTTCTGTCCGTCAAAACGTATTTCATCAGTCTCCGTCAGTGAGTCACTTTTGGCAGGGGAAAGATTTATCTGCCCCAGTGTGACATCTCTGAAAGACAGACATGTGAGAAAAACAACATTTAAATTTTAGGACATTGGCAGTGTGTATAGGTAGGTGTGTGTGTGTGGCTGTTGTTCACACACGTTTAACTGTTTTGCCATAGATAAAGGTGTAAGGTGTAAAGGTGTGTTTAGAGAGTGCCAGTGACCACAACCCTGTTTCCCAAAAGCATCTTAAAGCCTTTAGATGATCGTTGTCCTATTGTAAGTCTATGAACTATGATAATCTTAGTCTTAAAGGTGATAGCATGATATTGGCATTGGAATTAATTGGAATATAATATTCATAGGTATGTTTTCATTACTGTATCACCTGTGCCCAGTATTTCAGAACATTTAATCAAGATCAGAATGATCCAGATTTTTTAATCCCTTTTTTTCGCTCCTGGAAAAAACTTACCATGTTTCATCTTTCAAAGAATTTTTAGATAGGATAATTCTGATCCAGATAGCACAAGATCAGTATTACAGAACCTAGAGTTTAATCTTTGGATAGGCTTCTATCTGTTGGTCAAAGTAATACAACACGTTGGGAATGTTGGGAAGTGTAAATCAGTTTGCATATTATTCTTACTCATGTATCTGCATTGTTGTTTAAATATGTTTAGTTTTAGTTTAGTTTTTTATTATATTATAATATTATATTATATTATAATATAGATTTGTCAGAGGCAAGATTAAAGCCGTTCAGAATAGGTGTTACAATGCAAACACACTGACTCCCAGTCATGGAGACATCCCAGTCTCAATATGGACCAATGCCTCCTCGTGCTAGTTGTGATGACACATTAGGCCAAACTGTCAAAGACTAAAACTAAACACATTTCCTATGTTTCACTTAGATTTTCTAAAAGTCTTACTTTTTTAGTTTAGTTTTTATTTTATTTTAGTGAACTAAAATATTTTTTCACAGCTAGTTTTAGTTTTTAGTTTAGTTTTAGTGAACTATAATAACCTCTGTCTCTACATCCTCCTTGAATTCCATGCTGGATCCATCCTTCCAGTGGGATCAGGATCATGCCAGGGTTTTTTAGCATCAAAATCTCCACTTTAGAGTTTGAAATACCCCAAAACAGATTGATCTTCAATGAATGTGTAAACACCATTTTTAGTGTCAACTCTGCACAGACATCATTTCAAACAGCACACTGGTTATGGACAAGAAGAAACACTGATTTCTGACTGTAGGGACTTTATATGTTTTTACTTGCATATCGAGTGTCTTCAACTATAACGAGGAAGACAAAAATAACAGGTTCAGATAAAAATAAACAGTTTGACAGTAAATGTTCAATTACAGTGTTGCAGTTAGTTACACTACTAAATCAGCTCAGTGAGATGAAATGCTTATCTTGTCTCACATCCATCGATCTACTGACCTTGAATTTCCAGAAAAAATGACATATGCAAACTCAATCAAGCGTGGGCTGTTAATTTAGCTCTCTGCCTATATGACTGTACTCTCTCTGTGTGTGTATGTGTGTGCCTTAACAAGCTGCCTTACTCATTGCTTAGACAAAGCCCTCTTTTCGTCTAAAAAGACTGACATGAAGTCTCCAGCATCTGACAGGACTCCAGTCATCACTGTCAAGTCACAGAGAAACAGTGACATTATGAGGCATACTGAGGAAAATCACCAAAACAGCAGAGGAAGGAGAGGCATTGCTGTGTTCATTATATAATACTTGTAGAGTAGAAATTATTATTTTAAGAATAAAGATGGAAATAAACTATTTATATAATGCTGTTTCCTATGACACACACTATACTGAAAAGTAGTCCTGTGACTTGTGCATTTTAATCTAATCTTATTTATAAGATTAACACTAATAGATGAGGGGTTGAGCGACCCAGAAAGGGGAGGGCAACATTAACAAGATGTTTTGATATTATTTGAATATTTCATCTACATTTTTTGGACGTTGGAAGAACAAGGAGGTTGAATAGGGTTGGCAAGTTTTTATTGATCGTTCATTCATTCTGAAACCTAAAAATTAAAAGGTGTTATTGCATTGGTTTTCCTTAATGATAATTATATATATATTATATATATATATATATATTCTATGTATATAAAAACACAACAGGCCAGTATTTCAAACCTTTTTAATGTAGATCAGAATTTCTCAGCGAAGGATTAAAATCTCAAAATTGGGTTTTTCAAGCAAGGAAAAATATGATTCTTGATCCTTACAAAATTATGGCTTCTGAGATTTGGTAATCCA